ATGAAGTGCCCCCTGCTGGAAAAACAAAAAGATGGAGGAAAGAAATAACAGTTGAGTAATCATTATGGTAATATTTGGATTATCCCTTATTTCTCATTTAAGTTTGGCTTTAAAGCTAACCTATGGACACTTGCTCTAGCTTTGCAGATGTACTAACACCTCCTCCCTGTAAAGCCTTCCCACCAGCCTTTTAGCAGTATGTGTTAAACTAATGAGGGACAGGTGACAATAACTGCAGGGAGAGATAGTTGGTACTATCGTACTGTACACTGCTAGTATGCTATACAGGCCTTAATACAATGCTGCACCACTCCTACGTTACAGTAAATTTAACTGCAGTAAAGAGTGAAATGTACTCCTCATATGTGTTCATGGTGCTGTTCAGAACTCCATTACTGAGCGAGGCATTCCCAGTGAATAGATCCATCAGTCCTTGTTAGGGTTACCTATTATTTTGTGTGTGTAAGCAACAACTTCTGTTACTGTGTAGCTCCTGTCCCTCTTTTTTTGGTTTTAACATTTTTTTCTTTATTTTCTTTCTAATAAAAAAAAATCAATAAAAATTTAAAAAAATGTTTTTGTTACAGTGTTTTAATGTTGATGTTTGGTATTTAGTATTGTACAGTAGTTTTTGGAGGGAGAAATGTTTTATTTCTTGTTTTTCTTGGTAGGTAGTATGAACCTGTTGGCCACACAGGCAAAGCTTCCCTTTGTTAGCAGCACATTGAAAGCATACTATTGCAATCAAGTTTACTGCACTAAATCACCAGATTGTACAATGCACCAAAGTACCACATCCACAGTTCCCCTATTGTAATTGCTGCATATAAAATTAGGCAGTTCCATGTTATTGTCATGCCTGGAAGGCCTAAATCAGGATGCGGAGGTTGTTCACACGCAGCTAATAAGGGATGAGGAGGTTCTGTACCTGAACTTTTGAGAGGTTGGGCACCTATGACTTTCCTTTTAGGCAGTGGCTGTGCTGTCCAGCCAGAGCACATTGAGAATAGGGGGGAGTGGATAACCAAATCATATCACGGGTGCAGATTAGCATAGTGTCATCAGCAGCAGCAAATGCACCCTTTCCTTCTCAGGGGCGGACTGACCATTTGGAAACTCGGGCACTGCCCGAGGGCCCCGGGGTCAATAGGGGGCCCCATGAGATGCCCCCCGGTACCTTTTTCACAGGCTTTTTTGAGTTTGGGCAAGGACACAGGGGCCCCATGATCCCCTATTGCCCAGGGGCCCCATGAGTTGTCAGTCCGCCCCTGCTCCTTCCTTCTCTTGTACAGCTGATCCTGCTGTTGGCCTGAAAACTGGCATTGAGGTGTCAGCTGAATTATTTGAACATATCATTAATATTTTTCTGTAGTAAGATGTGCAGGAATTCAGTTTATCAGATGCTGAGGAGGAAGAAACCACCAGTAGCATCGAAGGAGGGCCAGTGATGTTCCTGCAGCTGCATAACTATCATTATGTATTATTTAGTCTGTTGCTTTGGTAGAACATATTGCATTTATTTATGCTTTCTTATTGGTATCATTTTTCTCTTTGTTTGTTTTGTTTTCTGTTGCAGGGTCAAACTTTTGCAATGGTAGAGTGCTGTCAACAGTTGTTGGACTGTAAATGTAATGATGATTTTTAACAAACGATGCTTGCTTTATTAACCAGTTCCTGATTTGTCTATTGTAATGTGATGGCTAGGTGGGACTTTTGTTATTCCAGGTGAATGTCATATAACGTTCTCCCAGAACGTGCCTTGCGCATGGCCATGGCACTGCGCTGCAATCTTTCATTGGATGTGCTCACCTGACACAGCTTATGACTGTGGCCAATCACAGCAGATCACATGACAATTGAGGCATCATTTCATGCCATTCATTGCTTACAATTGTATTGCTGGATGTGATTGGTCACAGTGATCACATGGTACAGAGAGGGCCAGTCACAGCCCATCTGTACCATGTGATTAGCTGTGGCCAAACACAGCTAATCACTACAATACTTACTGAATGAATCAGTTTCATTCACTAAAAATTGTTGTTTCCCAGTCAAATTCACTGGTATAAGCAATCATGTGTAAGAAAAAAAAAAATCCTGATCACTTGCCCAGAGTAGTAGTGTTACAATGGTAACACTGTATTGCTCTGGTCACAGGGAAAAAAAAAATTATAAAAAAACTTTAAAACATAATAAAAAATGTAAAAAAATATATATATATATATATATATATATATATATATATTTGTTTACATACTGCCACCAGTCAGTGATCCTGATAACTACAACAGATATATGATGAAGCTGTACTGTATTGGTGATTAAAAAAAAATCATGAAGAAAAAATTTTCAATTTCTTCATTTTCCAAAAACATATGACAAAATACCTCAGACTGTCTGCTTTCCAAAAAGGGGTCATTTGGGGGACATCTTTTGTGCCTCAATAAATGAGATAGGCCTTCACTACATCAGGATTGATTGATTTTCAGATATATACCAAAGTTTGTGGTTATTTTCACCAAAGAAAGCAGAATACATTTGGCTTACATTTTTGAAGAAAGATTATTTATTTGCTAAATTTTATAACAGAAACAAAGAAAAACACTTTTTTTTATGGGAACATGTTACATGTTCCACCCTAAAAATGGGTGGAACATGTAACATGTTCCAAAGGTGAACTTATCCTTTAAATATCCTCATATCAAATACCTCATACCAACCTCATATCAAATCTCTCACAAACACATGCAGACTCCACCTCCGCAATATCGCCAAGATACGCTCCTTCCTTACCCCAGACACCACTAAACTACTAGTACACTCCCTGATTATCTCACGCCTGGACTACTGCAACTCCCTCCTCACCGGCCTACCCCAGTGCAGGCTCTCCCCGCTTCAGACCATCCTGAACTCAGCGGCCAGACTCATCCACCTCACCAGCCGCTCCACCTCTGCCACCCCCCTCTGCCTCTCCCTCCACTGGCTCCCCATTGCCCAACGCATTAAATTTAAATTGCTCACCCGACCTATAAGGCCATTCACAACACTGCCCCTAACTACCTCACTGACCTGATTCCCAGGTACCACCCTACCCGTACCCTTCGCTCTTCACAGGACCTCCTTCTATCTTGCTCCCTGGTCTCCTCCTCCCACGCACGACTGCAAGACTTCTCCAGGTCCTCCCCCATCCTCTGGAACTCACTACCCCAATCCATCAGACTGTCACCTTCCCTCCTCACCTTCAGGCGCTCCCTGAAAACCCACCTCTTCAGGGAAGCCTACCCCACCCTCACCTAACAGCCGCTGCCCTTCCCTCCTCCTACCACTCCATCCCCCACAGCCGTTTCCTCCTGTGCCTCTACCCCGTCCCTCCTAGATTGTACGCTCGAAAGAGTAGGGCCCTCTAACCCCTCGTGTGCTGTTTGATGTTACTGTTCTGTTTCATGTATTGTCCCCCCTCTATTGTACAGCGCTGAGCAAACCCTTTGGCGCTATATAAACTCGATAAATAAATAAATAAATAAATGGTGACTATGGAATATTTCTGTCTCTGACATAATCCACAATCATTTTGATTCACTTCAAAACCTGCTGTATCGCAACCTCATCAAATGTAGCTCACTAAAAATGCTTAGATAATGTGTGCCTGTGAATATTTATACCATTTGCTTCTGACATAATTCACTGTAATTTTTTATTCATGTTACAACTTGCCGCATCTCTCTTTTTTGAAATACAGGCTACTAAAAAGGTTTACATGAGCGCAGTAAGTATGTGCTATATTTTTCCTCTAATCTTTGAAATAATCCTGAACAACTTTTAATTATTTTAAAACCTGCCTGTATTCACCTTCCTTCAAATGTGGCTTACTAAAAAGGCTTACATAATATGCAGCGTGTCAGTGCTACATTTCTGCAATCTGTCTTGGAGATAATTCACCATAATATTTTATTTCACATTAACATTTGCCACATCTCTCCATCTTCAAATGTTGCCAACTAAAAAACTTACATGATGAGGAGCATGTCTTTGCTATTTTCTGGCTTTTATCTCTGATATAATACACTATAATTATTATTTTAGTTTTTTTTTTAAACCTGCCTTGTCTCTCCCTCTGTCTCTGCCCAACCAAACTGCTGTCTCTGAAATATAGCTCTGTTTCTTCATAACAACTACCTCATCTGGAATGCAGGGTTGTGGTTTTTAAGTGTTTTTGACACTATATTATTCAGTCTAATACAGTGTGGTAATGCACTAAAATAAGGTCGCAAGCTCTGATACTGCTTGGCAAATGTTATGAGGCTTAATAGCTCATTGATCTGTTCTGTCTACTATTTCAGCCTCCTAGTTCTGGTATTTTACTACTAGATAAAAAAGTATGTGTCACAGCAAAAACTACCTGCAAAATATTTTTTAAGTTAAATGCAAACCAAGAAATTATGTAAAATATTAAAAATGTATACAAATTATGTGATGTTAGAATGGAATCTTGATTATGCTATCCCAGAGAATTGTACCATTCTGTAGCACTGAATATAGCTTACAGTGGGGAAAATAATAATTTGATATTGAGTTGGCCCATCCTTTGCAGCTATAACAGCTTCAACTCTTCTGGAAAGGCTGTCCACACGGTTTAGGAATGTTTGACCATTCTTCCAGAAGTGCATTTGTGAGGTCAGGCACAGATGTCGAATGAGAAGGCCTGGCTCGCAGTCTCCATTCTAATTAATCCCAAAGGCATTCTTTTGGGTTGAGGTCAGGACTCTTTGCAGGCAAGTCAAGTTCCTTTGCCCCAAACCCCCCCCCATACCATTATTCTGGCAACCATCAAACCCAGGCATGTCCATCAGATTTCAAGACAGAGAAGTGTGATTTGTCACTCCAGAGTCCTGCTCTAGAGTCCAGTGGCGGCGTGCTTTACACCACTGCATCCGACGGCTTGCATTGCACTTGGTGATGTAAGGCTTGGATGCAGCTGCTCGGCCATGGAAGCTCATTCTAGGAAGCTCTCTATGCACTGTTGTTGTGCTAATCTGAAGGCCACATGAAGCTTGAGGTCATTAGCTGTTGACTCTGCAGACAGTTGGTGACTTCTGCGCACTGTGTGCTTCAGCATGTACTGAGCCTGCTCTATCGTTTTAAGTAGCCTACCACTGTTGTTCCCAGTTGCTTCCACTTTGTTATGCCACTTGACCATGGAATATTTAATAGCAAGGAAAGTTCACGGATGGACTTATTGCACAGATGGCAACCTATCACGGGACCACACTTGAATTCACTGAGCTCCTGAGAGTGTCCTATTCTTTCACAAATGTTTGTAGAAGCAGTGTCTAGGTGCTTGATTTTATACACTTGTGGCCATGCAGGTGATTGTAACACCTGAATCCACTGATTTGGAGGGGTGTCCCAATACTTTTGGCAATATAGTGCAGATAGATAGATAGATAGATAGATAGATAGATAGATAGATAGATAGATAGAATATAAATGAGTGAAATAGTGACTATTGTCATTATTTATCCAAATAATTTAGCAAAGTAGTATTAATTGGAAAATAGTAAGCTCTCTGAGAGACGTGAGCTTTTCATATACTCACAGCAACTGTTGAAGTGAGCCTTTCTTTTATCATTTTTCTTTTACAGGTTATTATTTTGTTTATAGCAACAGTGCTTAACAAATACATGTAAAATGAAATGTTACACCTGGGCTTAATGTGTGGAAAGTTCAGAACCCATTCTTTCAGTCTTTCCAATTATACCTTTTATTAGACAAGTTTCTCCAAGTAATACATAAGATAGATACCCTGATGGGATTAGGAAGGACATTATAGGTAATGAGATAGGAAGAAGAATCCTTGCCTGTAATTGTTAACGGACAATGGAGCCATGATCATACACTTGGGAGGAATTCCTTTGTTAAGTCTCTCACTGCTAATATACACGTTGTACTATAGTATTAGTGGCAATTGCAGAGTAGGAATTAGGATTCCACTGAATGGTATTAACAACAAAAGAAAGAGAAATGAGAAGATGTGCAGCCCATCCCAATGACTCAAGTTTATTTAAGTTAACATATTATTAAATGAGTCATGTTGAATATAAAGTCACTAAAGCATACAAAAATAATTTATCCAAAAAAACACAAAAACTGATTTTGTTAAACACAACTCACAAATACAGTAAATTGAACTCCACTTTCTGTTTTTCTTTCTGACTGGAAAAATATATTTTAAAAATGAGGAAAGAAATGTGTTTTTATTACCCATTACAATCAATGTCTGGCTTTCTACTATAGTTTTATATATTGAAAGAATGTATCTATCTGCCTTGAGTGGCACAGACATGTTTCTAAATCCATTTAAATAACACATTTAGAATTAATAAAGGTTAGCTCAAATAATTACTGTAGGAACATTTTTACCTTACCATAGTGTTTTAACTATATACAGACCCATCAGTTCAATTGTAAGTATGTATTCTATACTATCCTAAATAGTTCCTGCTAGTTAAAAGTTTCTGGCTCATGCCTGTGGAAACCAACTACAATTATCTTTGGATACACCACTCCTGGGATATTAAGTAGTTTTGAGCATATCTTTAACTGTGTATACTTCTTTTCAGAGACCTACAGCAGGTTCATCCAAGTGACTATGGCTGTCTAGGAGTCCTATTTGTCAATTAAGAGGCTTATTTACTACAGAAGTTAAGAATCTTAACATAATAATTTGTGGTAATATTCACTACATTTTTCCAATCAAGGGAAAAACAAATTCCTGCTTACTTAAGTCCTCTGTACATGATTGCATGATTGATGTGAATATTCACACAATGTACCCTGTGAAGGTTCTCAACTCCTTTAGTAACTCAGCCTTAATGGATTCTCCTGATTGTTCTCCTGCTTTTTTTTTCTGCTGCTATACCTAGGCCTTAATGTCTGCTTTATTATGCTGTTTCTTTACACCTGCCTTTTAGGCTAATTTCACACTGTTCCATAAGCATTGTTGCTGCATTTTTACCTCCTTTTTGCCTTGTTTCCGGTGATTTTGCCTGTGAAAAACACGTAACTCAAAAAATGCACCAAAAAGCAGATGCAGTGCATTTTTTATGTGTTTTTGCTGCATTTTTTATTTGTTTTCCATTCATTTCAATAGGGAGGTGCGCTTTTTTTTTTACCGCACCAAATAAGCATAAAAAATGCAGCTTGCAGGACTTTGAAAAATGCAACGAAGAGTTCCACAGGATTTAATGGCCATGCATTTTATTCTGCTTTTTCAGTTTTTTCAAAATTATCAGTTTGAAAGCAGCCTTATGGGTCTATGTGGCCATATTCAGTTCCAAAGCATGGACAATGACTTTATCTATCCCCTTGGGAAAGCTATACCTGTTAGGTGACCGGATGAAGCATGTACCTATGCTGGTAGGTGTCAGTTTACCTCCTGATTAATCCTCTTCCATTTCCATCCAGTGTCCTGCCTCCTCCCCTTCCAGCTTTTTGCCTGTATTGTGCCATCCCAAGAATCCACCTGCTGTTAAAGTGTTACTAAGCCCACAACCGTAAAATCAGTCTGTATATGCAGTAAAGCATGCTTGATATACTCACTGTGGGACCCAAGGGGTTAACCATCTGCATTGTGTAAAAAGGCTTTTTTATCCCGAATTCTCTGCTGCCCCTCCACTTGTTCAAATGTCCATGCTGATAAGACAGACTGAACCTGTAGCCCTTCTGCACATGCTCATTTTAGTGTGTATTGCTAGAGTTTTTTTTTCCTCAGGAGAGTGTATGTGATCAGCACAGGGCCAATCAGCACTGTCCAGACAGAGGTCAGGGGTTTTGCATCCACCTAAAGCAGAAAGAAAACTCCTCCCACAAGCTTTAACCAGTGCTCAGCTGAAGTCACAAGACTGCTCTAACTGCTGATGAGAAAATGTATTTAGCAGTTTATAGTTACTAAGTTAATTGCACTTCCATGTTCTGTATACTGTGGGAGACCAAGTATAGTGAATGCCGGGTCCTGGGTTTAGTAACACTTTAAGTATCACTTTTTCCTTTATTGCCCAGCCCCCATTGTTCCTTATCTAGTATATTCTTTGTGGTTCTCTCTATTCCTGCATCAATCTTGTACTACAGTGCTCCCCCACTACAGCGTCCCCCTGTGCTGCACTCCATCCAAATATCCATTTGTGTTGTTATTTACCGTCAGCTTCCTCCTATGCTGTGCCTCTTCTACTCTAGTTTTACCCACCTATGCTCTTCCCTTCTTGAGCCCCGATATCATGCTCCAAACTATCATTATGTATTATTTAGTCTGTTGCTTTGGTAGAACATATTGCATTTATTTATGCTTTCTTATAGATATCATTTTTCTTTTTTTTTTGTTTTGTTTTCTGTTGCAGGGCCAAACTTTTGCAATGGTAGAGAGCTGTCAAGAGTTGTTGGACTGTAAATGTAATGATGGCTTTTAACAAACGATTCTTGGTTTATTAACCAGTTCCTGATTTGTCTATTGTAATATGATGTCTAGGTGGGACTTTCGTCATTTCAGGTGAATGTCATATAATGTCCTCCCAGAACGTGCCTTGCGCATGGCCATGGGGCTGCGCTGCGATCTTTCATTGGATGTGCTCACCTGACACAGCTTATGACTGTGGCCAATCACAGCAGATCACATGACAATTGAGGCATCCTTTCATGCCATTCATTGCTTACAATTGTATTGCTGGATGTGATTGGTCACTGTGATCACATGGTACAGAGAGGGCCAGTCACAGCCCATCTCTACCATGTGATTAGCTGTGGCCAAACACAGCTAATCACTACAATACTTACTGAATGAATCAGTGTCATTCAGTAAAAATTGTTGTTTACCAGTCAAATTCACTGGTATAAGCAATCCTGTGTAAGAAGAAAAAATCCTGATCACTTGCCCAGAGTAGTTGTGTTACAATGGTAACACTGTATTGCTCTGGTCACAGGGAAAAAAAATCATAAAAAAAAACTTTAAAACATAATAAAAAAATGTAATTATATATATACATATAATTGTTTACATACTGCCACCAGTCAGTGATCCTTATCACCACCACAACAGATATATGATGAAGCTGTACTGTATAGGTGATAAAAAAAATCATGAAGAAAAAATGTTTCTTCATTTTCCAAAAACATATGACAAAAAAATTACAACTTCAAAAAACTCAACATGCCTCTTGCTAAATACCTCATACTGTCTGCTTTCCAAAAAGGGGTCATTTGGGGGACATTTTTTGTTCCTCAATAAATGAGATAGGCCTTCACTACATCAGGATTGATTGATTTTCAGATATATACCAAAGTTTGTGGTTATTTTTACCAAAGAAATGTAGCAGAATACATTTGGCCTACATTTTTGAAGAAAGATTATTTATTTGCTAAATTTTATAACAGAAACAAAGAAGACCACTTTTTTTGTTTTCATTTTAGGTCTTTTTTCATTTATTTAGCAAAATATAAAAAACTCAGTGGTGATTAAATAACACCAAAAAAGCTCTATTTGTGGGAAAAAACCCATAAAAATGTCATAAGGGTACAGTGTTGCATGACCGCTTAAATGTCATTTATAGTATGACAGCGCTGAAAACTGAAAATTGACTTGGGCAGGAAGGGTATAAAGTGTGTTGAAGTGGCTAAATACTGTATATTCAGGGGCGGACTGACAACTCATGGGGCCGCCGGGCAATAGGGGATCAGGGGGCCCCTGTGTCCTTGCCCAAACTCAAAAAAGCCTATGAAAAAGGTACCAGGGGCATCTTATGGGGCCCCCTACTGACCCCGGGCCCTTGGGCAGTGCCCGAGTTTCCAAATGGTCAGTCCGCCCCTGTGTATATTGCTGTTGTTTATGCAAAGCATAAAAAGACATTTTCATTTGCTGCTTTCTGCATTATAGGTAGATCACAAATACCAAGGTTACACAGTCCCACAGCCCCAGTTTTAAAAGCATCCTGTTCAATGACCACATGACATCTTTATCAGTATAACCTTCACTCTTTGCCAGTATCCAAATTTATGTGTAAACGTTATTTTAGGCTAGTGTAAGTATAATGATCCTCTTTGGCTCCACTCTTTGATTTGGGCATTCTGGTCTTTAACCACTTGCCCTCCTGAGGATTTATCCCCCCTTAATGACCAGGCCTCTTTTTGCTACTCAGCGCTACACTAATTCAACTGATAATTTTGCGGTCATGCAATGCTGCACCCGAAAAAAATTTATGTCCTTTTTTTCACACAAATAGAGCTTTCTTTCGGTGGTATTTGCTCACCTGTGC